TGTCCAGAATATGGAACAATATAAGCCACCTCCTTTTTGTCAAAATAGCCATCCCATTTACTGCCCCCTTTCCTGTGTTGATAGGTGATAGATTCCATCACAGGTAGTCTCTCCTTTTTCTCCTTCCCCCCGTGTCTCCTTTTCTCTCTAATACATACACACACCCCTTTACTCCATATTCTCCTTTTCCTTAGTCTTCCAAATTTTGCTCTTTTCCCCTAAATAAAATCTTTCTTTCAACCTCTTTTCATGTCACTTGTGAGCCAAAAAAAGAAAAAAAAAAAAACCACTGTACAGGTTTTAAGAAGAAGGAAATTCATTCATTTTGATATTAAATTTGTCACAGTAAAGGGCTAGTGTACATCTCTAAGTGTTCGTCTTGAAGAAAGGGGCTGAAGTTTAAGGGGAAGGAGAATTTACATCCTATTTTCTACTGTTTTAAAGGTTTGACTTTGTAATTTTACTTGGCCCATATATTACTCTCATATTTTTATGTTATTGTTAAATTATCCATATGGTGGTAGGGTTGATTGGGACTGTTGTTCTTGAATGACAGATATACAGAGTTTCAGTTATTTTATCGATTAAAATAAGCACTATTTTAATCCATTAAAAAAATGGGCCACAGCTTGAGCATCTGATCAGCATTTATAAGATTAGTATCCTCTTCAAGTTCCATATAGTACAGTAACTGGCTCACAGATAAACTCCTGGATAACAACCTGTTTGTAAACTGCAGAGGACCGTATTGGTTAAAATCAACCAATTTTCAAAATACAGTAAGGAGACTATATGGATTATCTAGTGTCTAAACAGAAAGTCAGATATGATGGAAGGTGTACGCACAAGCCCACTTCCTACTTCGTGACTGCAGGCAAGTCTTCATCTCCCCACAGTGTGACACCTGCAGAGTTAACCCGGGATTGTCAGACAGGCCCGTTCAATAAGCAGAGGCCGCTTGACCATGGAAAACAAATACTGTATATATACTTTATATATATATATATATATATATATATATATATATAATATAACTATATATAGTATATGCATATCTTATATAATATATGTAGTACGCACATATTGTACTATACGTCGTACATAGTATATAGTAAACAGTATATTAAACTTGCATTTTCCAACCTTAAATATGGGTACTCCTCCTACCACAGTGAAACTTCAATCATCTCTGCCTTCCTTACAATAATGATATTAATAGATAATTAAACAATAGTAATCATCTTCTTGTAGTCTTAAATAGAAGGTTTAGTCAGCCTATCTGAATGCACAGAATTTGCTTCTAACACTAAACACAATCATGTTTCATGATTCAGGAGACAGCAAGGCAGTACAGGAATGGTGGGTTTATTCCAATACTGTAGTAGAACATTGGCTGTGGATACAGTGGGAAGTTTTTTCTTTCCTTTATTGAACCAAGCTCTGGTTTGTTTGTTTGGATATACAGCTAAGGAGTGTTTTGCCACCACACACGATCACACACACACACACACACACACACACACACACACACACA